CCACCGTTTAGAAAACGATATCGAAAACCATATGCATTCAAAACCGATACAACCATATATATATATATATTTAATTGGGTCAAAACCATAACGAAATCCGAACTCCCGAAATGAAACTTTATTAATCAACTCATCCAACTTTTCCTTATTATACCCAAACTAATCTCTCGAAACGCGTGCCCTTTGGCACAGTGAGCGAGGAAGTATCCTCACCGATAAATAAGAACGAATGAATAGATATATATATATATATATAAGTATGACACCAACAAGTTTGTATTGAGGAAACAATCCAACCGATAGATTGTTTGACTAGTCCACGTGGAAGAATCCTCAATTGACCATGTGGCTAGGGAACGAGCCGTCCAACTGGGACTAAGCTCACCAGCATGTACAACATAATCCTCAATACTCGTACGCCTGTGACAAGTCCTACGAGCGCAGACTACCTCGCTAAGGGTCTACAAAACACCCCGTCAAGGGTGCCTGAGTTCCAACACATCCAAGGATCTCAACATTCCAAAGTTCCAAATCCGAGGAGGTACATAGGATAGTGCTTATAACACTTCAAACTGACATAACTATAATCCACTCTCTTTTCACAATCTCAAACCAACATCCCACGTACCCCACACATAACCAATCATAGATAGAAATTCTCGAAAATATTATACATCAACTCAAGATACTTGCAATATGCCAAAACCCAAATATATTTCGAAAATATATAGAAATATCATGTTCAACAATTAATAAAATAATAAACTCAATAAACCATTAAATCATCATTCATAGCTTCCCGCCTTAAAAATAATGATAGCCTTTGAAAACAATGTCCACTTACAAATAGTCCCACGCTGCTTGACCCTGAAAGGGTCCCACATGCTGCGTACGCGTGGTCGGAGCACCTATTTCAGAATATGAATATGAAATTAATATAGAACGCTTCGAACGAGAACTTTAAATTAAAATTCTAGTTTCTCGGGTTTCAATTAAGTGTACGAGGAATGAGACGTTCCTAAAGTCCAACTACGTGTTTCGGATGATGGGATAGCCTCGGAAGACGCTCAGTCAACCGGGCAGTCAAACTTTCCATAATGGGTCAACCGGGCCCACGGGACCCACGACCTCCGTTTTACGATCCGGAAGTTCCTATGAATTCAACAAGGTTCATAATACACGTCTTGCAAGTTTGTTTCGAATTGAACGGTTGGATCGCTCACGATCGCATGATCGGACGGTTATTGTTTAACGCAAACTTTAAGTTATTGAATTGGAACATCCGGGGTTCCGATTCACAATCCGCGAGTTCCTACATGATCCTAGGGATGCCTAGAGCAACATATATTGAAATGAAGTCGATCCAACGGTCTGAACATGTCGAACCCGAATAACTCCTAATATGCGATATCCGATCGACGGTCAAATGATAACCAAATTCATATCCGAGCATACCGTTGTGCTCGGGACAACATGAGAATCATTTTAGGACCAAGAGACCAGCCAAAAAGTGGCCCACGTGCCGCCCCACGCGCCGAAAATACGTGGGTGCCCAAAGCGATTTTTGGCGATCGGAAAAACCTCAAACCACCAGTCAAGACTTATACCTACATGATCAGGACATTGAGTGGAGCAAATTTTGTTCTTGGGACCAACCCCAAAAGTGGCCGGAGGTGGCCAGAATCGAGGGCCGAAACCGGCCAAAACTTTAATCGCTTAAATCCGTTTCAAAACGCAAAAATTAATCCTAAACAACCCAACTAGCAGCTAAAACACATTGAGAGGATGACAAAACATACCAAGTTCAAAGAATTTGGTTGCAAAAATTGCCCAAACGAGCGTCGGAAAATCACGAAAAATCTGACCGTATTTTGACGTTTTCCAGCGACACGAGCTGCGAATCAGGGCTGAGGAGGGGTGGGGCTGGAAGTGGGAGAAAATGCGGTCAATTTGGGTCCGATCCTGTGGCCAACTGTGGCCTATGACGGCGGTGAGCCACCAGATGTTTCAAAAAAAGTCGAGGGGAGAGGTGCTGCGCGTTGGGGAGGGAGAGAGAGTGAGTTTTCAGATTTTAATAAACCCATTTTGAAAAATTTACAATTGTGCCATTGAGTTTGTTTTGATCGTAACTTCTTCGTTACAACTCCAATTCGAGCCCACTACGTGTCTACGAACTCATCTCGGTACGATCTACGTAATAGTACCAGTTATGGATTAAAAAGTGATCGAAATACCCTTACCCTCGGGGGGCAAAATTGTAATTTCAAATTTAAATTAATTAAATTAACAATTAATTTAAATTTGGGTCGGGATGTTACAGTAAATGGTATTGTTGATTTCATGCGTGATCTGAGGGGATTGACCTCTCAACACATCGTTGAACACTCGGGATTTCCCGAGCACGTTAAGGTCGTTTTGAGATCCCACAACTCCAAAAAAGGCATGTCAAACCCAGGTATCGAATAATGCAATAGCTTCTAAAATGATACTTTCTTTTGCCCCTCTTATTCCCATAATCTTCTTGCCAAGCAGTTGGGCAATTCTTCCACTACTAGCGCATGCAGTTGATGCTTCCAATCATGCCTGGGAAACCTTGAGCCTCAACTTTTTGTATAAGACTTTGGAAGTCCCTAGGAGTAGGTTTGCGGAGGTAATCCCTTGTGTATATAGTTTCGATTGTTACACAGAATTTGACCAAGCTCTCTAGTATAGTGTATTTCCCCATTCTAGCAATCTCATCCATTGGTCTGCAGATGCGCCAACAACCTCATCGTGTAAGACATTGAAAGTATAATGTGTTTTGTAAAATCTAAGAAATGAAATGATAGAAAGAATATGGATGATTGGTGTGAGTGGAAGCTGTGGTTTTATAGAGGGATTTAGAAGATAGAGATGGCACATGGTGCAATTGTAGCAACTGAAAATCTTATATGTGAATTTTTAATAAATATGGACACATGGCAACCGAAAATCTTATCCGAAATATGATATGTGAATTTTATAATAAATATTGACATGTGGCAACCAAAAATCTTATCAAAATTAATCTTTTAAGTATAAAAAATAAAATTAATTTGTTATAAATAGTAATTGCCCTTTGCCATAGCAATGGGTGGAAACTCAACAAAAAAATTGCATGGGCAGGCACAATTCATGTAAATAGTAACAACCATTTCCTCCCATTACCTTTTGTAATGGCAAATGGGTGGAAATGCTTTTAGAACACAACCACTCTAGCAAATTTAGCTTAAGCTCATGTCTACAATTTAGTATATTTAAAGAATGCTGCTATTTCCAACCCGTCTTATTTCCCCACTCACCTTATATTCAAAATTTTAAATACAAATTTAACCATTTGTAAAATGACTTCTAAGCCCCTCTGTCTCTTATTTGAGGTTTTGACACTTTTTCACTTTTTTTTTTCCATGAAGAAAAAAGAAGCTTTTATTAAAGTCGAATATGAACTTTTGCATCTGTAGCCAAACAATTAAACAAGCACTCAGTGCCTACTTCATCCCACAGGTGTGACCCTTCTACTCTAGACACAAAAGAAGCCACCAAATGAGCAGCTTGGTTACATGCTCGTGGTGCATACATAAACCGCACCCTTCCCAATTGTCGGCCCAGCTCCCTAATGTCAAACACGATCCCACAGTCCTACTGAACAAAACCCCCACCAACAAAGCCTCAACCGCCACCTTCCCATTCAGTACTCCGATGAATTGAACAAAACCTCAATTTAACAATGTTAGGTCTTATAAAAATTGAAGAAAAAATTGAAGAAAAAATGATGAACCTATCAGTTACCTACCCCATTGCAGTGGCGGCAACTCCTCCGCTCCTCATCACTAGCCAACCTCCTCTATTTCTTTTTCCCATGTTTCTGATTCAACTAAATAAAATTCCACCTTGGGTTTTCTGATTCAACTAAAAAATTATTTTGGAATATTAGAAATTGTTACTTAACCACTTGGTTGTTAGGAGATGGAAAATAAGATGCATCAATTGACAATAAATTTTCATACTTTGTAGATTCAAATTGTGGGTATAGTGGCGAAGTGGTGGAGCGTGAGAAAGAGAAGACGAGAGAAGACAGGAAGAGAGAGAAAGGGATGTATTAATTAAAGGGTATTTTGGGAATAATGGTGGGTGAAAAAATAAAATCGTGTTTTTTCAAATTTACATAGTGGGTGAGAAGATAAGATGAGTAGGGAAATAGGACAAAGGTGGAAATAGCAGCACTCTATTTAAAAGATGCCTTGTTTGCGTTCTTGGAATGGGCTTCCATTTCAATTCAAGGAAATGGTCGAAAATGTCAATAACTCACTGGCACAGCCAGCCCTCTTTCTGGAGAAAAGCTTAGTTGCAATAGGGATAGCACCGTTTTGCTATCTCCGGCCAATAAAACTATGCCACGTGAAAGTGTTATCACGCATGTCATAACGTTATTGGCCTGAGATAGCAAAATAGTGTTATCCTAGTTTCATGGAAGTCTTGCTCCTCTCTCTATGCACATAATGGTTCGCTATCATATCTTGGCGGTCTAATAACTTAGGCCGCGCCTCTATTTTGAATTTTGATTGAGATTGAGAGAGATCCCGATTATATTCCAATTAATATCACATTCGCTTATCTGGGACTCACTTTAGAAACTGACTCAATTGTGGTAATCTAGTTGTGATTAGAGCTGCTTATCTTCTACTGCTTTTTGCATGCTTCTCTCTGGGGTTGGGTTTTGTTCCTAAAATTGATGATACGCAACGCATGCATACACATATAGTGATAATTGGGTCAGAATTGGAATTCTCTTTTACGACTAGCCGAAGAAATAGATGAAGCAAGCAATCAAACAAGAACAATTATGCTGGACTTCAAATATATGCAGTAAGTATCTAAATCACAAAAGCTCAAATAATAGATAGCATGAGTTGATTTTGCAAAGAGAATAATAAAACAAGGGTCTGCTTTCCGGAAAAGCATTCTTCCTTGACAAAGAAATGTTTTGACAGATAATTCCTTCCATTACTTTAGATAAGCTCACCATTCTATCAAAAGGGCAGCAGCAGGTACTCTTACAGAAACACATTTTAAAAGGAAAAAGGAAGATGCTTACTCTTTTTAGTTTCTAGGTTGAACATAAACACTTGTACGAACAGCTATAGTTCACTCAACCCAAGACCAACACAAGAAAACAGAGTATCTACAAAAGTCTTCATCACAGAGAACTTCCCAACCATCTCACACAGAGAAGGGGGCATCATAATGACAAGGCCAAAATGTAGATTGGCAAATTCTAACTATTACTCTACGAGACAAGATAAGATGGGGGCCAATGCTAACCACATGCAGCAGCACTTATACCTTTATTTCTCTACCAAAAATCCAGCTGAATGGAACAGTGGATGATTGCTTCGCCCTTCCCTGAGCCCTCTCCTCCAACCTTCTAATTCTTGGCGGCAATCCACACACGAAATCTTGTGCTCTACGTCCCTCGCCAGAAAGACCCGTCAACTTCTCTATGTTCCATCTTCCAACCAAAAACTCCAAAATATCAGCATAATCCCTAGCAGTATACACTTCAAGCCGCTGGGCAACAGCTGAGAAATGTTCGAAAAGATTATCATCTTGACCATCGTACATCAAGTGGGCTGGCATTGATATTTTTTTCTTCATCATGTCAGCTAAAGCCAAGACAGTGCCATTTGGATCAATCTCAAAGAGCTTTTCCACAATTTTTGTATAGGCAGTTTCATGGCGTTTTTCATCTGAGGCAATGGTACCACATATCTGAGCCAATTTCAGGTCCCCATGCTCTTTGGCTTGCCTGGCTGTGTTCCCATGGGAGATGAATGTTGCCCTCTCTTGAAATGAAGTATATATGAACCCAAGGTAGGGATTGTTTTCTGTTTTAGGGTCCTAAAAAGGAACAGATAATTGAAAACTAGAATCCAATAATAATCATAAAAATAACAATATAAGGAGAGAAGAGGGTGCAGCTATGTTTCAAGTGTGAATGTCATATAGCAGTGAATCAGGCAAAAACTAGACTGAAATTCCACTCTAATTGACATGCAGATGTTCTCTGAGTAACTAGAATTATGGAGATATGATCATAAAGGGAGACTTCCAGAAACAGAAATGACATGGAAAATTTAAGATCATGATGTACTTTTTAACATTATATAACTGGTTCTAGTCTTTCCTATACTTATGACCAGCTAAAAGGTCTTAAGCTTCTTAATCTGTAGTCAAGGGGAATGATGTAAAAGGAAAAAAAAAAAGGAAAAAGAGAAAAAAGAATATAACAATTACATTGCACCAGCAGTTAGCATCCTTTATGATTAATATAATTTCAAAAGCTTTCCTACAATGCCAAAATTCCTAAGTGTGGACTCAGAAAAGTATCCCAAAAATATTATTGTTCAGAAATAACCAAAATTGAAAGAAAGAAAAAAAATAAGAGAGAGAATAAAAAAAGATCTCACCATTCCTGATCCAATAAGATACTGAATTGTCTTCTCAATTTGTCTCATATCTACTCTTCCCGAGAGATAAAGATACTTGTGAAGAAGGTCACCATGCCTATTCTCTTCGGCAGTCCAGGCCCTGGTCCATACCGCCCAGGAAGTAAGGCTTGCACCAGTCTCATCCCGAACTCCATCTAAGGTATTAAGCATTGTCTGGTATGTTGGTAGGGCTTCTTCGGTGATCATATCTCCAACCAACACAACAAAATAATCATCAGGAATTTCCTTTGCTCTTTCCCTCAGCTCCTTAACTTGCTCATAGAATCCATCTGACTCAGGGAGTGGAAGAAAATCTTGTGGTTGCCAGCACTTCTCAACAGGCTTTAGGTGCACCAAGATGTTATTCTCAGCCCAACCTTCTAATGATGTGAAGATCTCAATCTGTTCAGGAGGCATTGAATGAGTCACTTGAACATGTGTCTCACGTGGAGGGCAATAAGACTTCTTCAGATTCTCGGTCTCTCTATAACAAGCAGAAAAAGAAGATCTTAAAATGGTATACTTCAAATGATAAATCTAACAACCATTACGAAAGCTTTCTAATTCCCCAAATAACATACTTCAAGTTACATTGCAATTAGATACATATTCCTATGAAACCTCATATTTCACCTATACATAATTCTATATAGGTGAGGGAGAAAACATACATATACAAGAAGCATATGAATAGATAATGAAAATAAGAAACAAGCAAAAGAATTCGAATACCAACGGGGAGAGAGGGAGAGAGAGGGAGAGAGAGAGAGAGAGAGAGAGAGCATTTTGCTTTTAAAAGTATGCTCATCTAATAAGACACAGGAGCAAACTTGAACAACCACCATATAGATAATAGAGAAGTCAAAGATACAGGCGGCTACCAAACTCAGAAGTAAAACCAAACGGAATAAACATAATTTGTTTCTTGCAGTTGTTACGGCTAAAATTGAAAACTTGAGAACATGACAAAGGTAGATTTCATGTATACCAATGCAAATGACAATCAAAATACCACTAACCATGTCAAAAAAAAAATATGACACTTCACATTTGATAAATGAGAAACCAGGGGGAAATAAACTTGGATAATATTGCATTATATGAATAATAGACTATGATAATTAATTCGGGTGCATATGATAATTGTTTAGCAGAACTCCTGAACATAAAGATGGAGAGAGAAATAGAGTTTAAGAAATTCATACAATGAGCTGACTACCTACATTGCACCAATCCATGAAAATATATACAATTGAAAAAAAGAAAAAAAAAAGTAAAAAGTATAGTGCAAAGACTCAAACATTAAACAAACGAAAGTAGCTGTACTTAATTGGAAAAAGAGACCGAGTATCCAACTAGAGTGACAATCGTCAATCATACAAGTTAAATATCTGGGGTGGATACAATAATTACTCAAACACAGAAATAAAAAAATAATTTAAGTATTGGAGAAAATATAAAACATCAAACTGCCAGAAATGAAGGCACAGGGGACAACAGGACATCAATCTTTGTATATGAAATCTCATATTATTAAATAGTATGTTAAACAAATGAAACTAGTCCACCTACAGAACCTAGTTCCAAAAGAAAGTATAAACCCAAGAAATCAGACCTACCTCTTAACAAATGTGAGAAATAGTTACACAGCACAAGCACACCTTCAGAATTCAGATTGAAAAGAAGAAAAAGAAAATCACCGTATCACTTTCAAAATCTTACCCGCTAGATCAAATCTTACCCGCTACAGATAAAATTCAATAGGAATAAAAGCATAAAAGAATTCTCTTTAAGAAAAAGAAACTAAAATAGGATTAAAAAATAACATTTAATCATGATTGGAAGTTCTTTTGTATGTTTCCCCAGCAAGGATTGAACAGATATACATGCATGCAGTTAAAAGAAAAATCCTAATAATAATAAACAAGAAGAGACTAGCTTACAACCTGATCTCATCAAAGAAGTGCCCATGAATTATATCTACATAGAGCATCATGCAACGTGCAAAGCTAAATGAAGGGAGAGGACAGAATAAGAAAACATAATTTCAATTATGTTTCACCGATCTCAATAACCACATAACATTTCTCAAAATGTGTACAATCTGAATGAGATTTATTTAAAAAACAAACCCCAAAATTCAAAAAACACCATCAGAAAAATAAGAAACAGAAGAGTTTTTCTTTGTTTCTTTAAGAAATTAACCCCATATTCAGCTGCATTAGCATAAAAGATTTTAATTTTAAAAAAAATACAGATCAACAGAATGGCTAAAAAATCATTCTTGAAGATACCAATTTGAATTTTTTGCGAAGGGACAGAGAACCCAACATGATCAGTCAAGCAAAATTTATTTAAAAAACAAAAGCAAAGAAGGAAACTCACTTAGGGGAGGAGTGAAGAGTGGAGGCCATGAAGATTTTTGGAGATCTGAGATTGTGGGACTTAGAAGGGAGGTTGTGAGATGGGAAGGTCATCATGGAATTGAGACTCAGAGCCATTTCTGCTTGATTTCTTTCTTTCTCTCTTTCTTGAATCCAAAAGAGCTTTGCAAAACTGTTGAGTTGGTTTCAGTTCAGCTTATATGACGTGTTTATTTCTTATAAAGTGGGTGTGGGAGAGAGAGGGAGAAGGCAACACGAAGAGATGAGAAAGGAACAACCGCAACCAAACGAGGAAATGTTTGGCGAGAGAGACGGAAACTTCATTATTAAAGTTGCCGTATTTCCATAAGGACCAGTCATTTCTAACCTAATTACGTTACTTGCCACTTTGAATTTGGGTCGGTTTGGTTTGGTTGTCATTTTTATTTTTTAGGCTTGTTCTTGCCGACTTGCCGAAACGCAAGCCAAATCTAGTCTTATATTCTGTAGAGTCTTATATCCAGAAAAATCTCAAATAATAATACAACATAGCAGTGCAGGAAACAAAGTCATTTCTCCACCAAGCATGTAATTAATTAGTGTGTAAGGGGAAATCCTTGACCTGAAAACGTTTGGAGATGCGTGCTTGTAAATTCAGCTGGAATTAGGGACAGATAGATAAAACCAATGAATTAAGGTGTTGTTTTTTCCGTAAACAAAATCTGAGAGAGCCAGAAACAGCCACCACTACATTTTCATGGGTGCGGTGGGTGGGACCCAAAACAAGAAAGAAGAAGATCAAGAAATAATATTCCCACATGGATCCGTTACTTGCTGGTTGCTGCAGCATATAGATTATAGATTATACAGCCTCCAGTCCAGGTGAGGTGACTCCCCATAATGCATAATGAATAGAATGGTGAATATTCATCTCGTCTGATTCTTTGCGTTTTGTTGTCACACTCACATCTCATGTGAGATGAGATGCAATGTGATGTTTCTTTTTCTTTTTTTTTCAATTATTCTTTTCTTTTATTTATGTCTCTTTTGTAAACAAAATTATTTCAAGGAGCAAAACTGTAACAAGAAAAACGAAAGGCAAGTAAGCAGAAATTTTCATGGCGATGGACATGGATGGTTGTAGTAAATACTAAACAGTGTAAGAACGAAGGAACCAAGTTCCCCAATTAATGACATTTAAAAGGCCAACAAGTCTAGCTCAATGGAAAATGGCATTAACTTGTAGATCAAAAGTCTCGAGTTCAAATCCCCACGACATCATAATTGTGTGTGTGAGATATCCCCTCCCCTTTAATTTTGACAATCAGTCAAGCCAAACTTCAAGCTGGGAGTTGGGTGTGTGCCCCAACCCCAGACAGCCCCAGGTACCATATATGAATTACGAACAAAGGCAAAAGCAAGAGCAAAGGCAAGGACAGCCAATAAATAAACCAATCTCCTACCTGTATTTTCCTTCAGTTTTAATTGTCTAATTAGCTCTCTCAGGCGAATGTCAATTAGCTTTTATTTGTGTGCCTCATATTTCATTTGTGTTTTATGCATGTCCCGTTAAAAGTAAATGTATTTGAAGAATATTTGGTGAATAAGAGCAGTTTTGAATAATTTCAACCATGATTACTTTATATATATATATATATATAACTATGGACAAAATCCTGAACGTTTATTGTCAAAGCTTTTCCACCAATAACGTACCCATATTATATAGTGACTCAAGATACTTTCCCAAAAGCCAAAAGCCAAAAGCCAATTTACGTTGAAAAGTCACGTGTAGATGTTTATTTCAACAACTAATTGCTGCTCTTTAATAAGGGCATACTTTGTATCCAAAAACACACAAGAAAAGGGCATTGTTTGATTATTGATAGTCAGTCTGTCAGTCTCAGTCTTTGTAATCGTAAAATGATTAGTTAGATATCAAGCAAGCAGCAGACGTAGAGATTCCTAGCCTATTGAATCTGTTTTACTTTCTGAAACAAAAAAAGAGTTTACACCAAACCTCTATGGGATTTGGATTGGGACAATCTGGGTATCTGCAGCGGATTACATGCTATGCTATTGACCGAAAAATCAGCCCATACATCCATTCCATATATTACAAAAAGAAAAAACAAAACGCAATCTACGGGCGTCCATATGTGCAACTCTGCTGCCCTTGTCCATAACAACCTGGCTTCACAGCTGGCTGAGGTGAGTTTTCATTAGGATTGAAACTTTTACCAGTAGGCGGCAAGCACCTTTTCGAGAAAAATGCAGCAATACTCTTGGTCTGCCCAGCTCTCTTTTCTGTTGATCACAAAGGAATATTAGTCTTAAATAACCAGATTCATTATGGTAATTTGAGGATGGTCAGGTCAAACATACCTGGAGATATTGACAAGCCAACTTTTTCCAAAATTTCTTTCTTCACCTACATTACAAGATGAACATGTATTAAGCAAACCACAACTTTCTACAAACATAGATTACTGTATGTTGTATATCCATTCATCAGCCAAAGCAACTCAATTACTACTAACCTTACCAGTTAGCTTACCACCATAGTAACTAAATTTTATAAACTAAGCAAAAAAGATAAGTATCTACATGAACCCCTTTTTTAAGACACGACACTAGCGAATGTGCTTGTTCTGGGCCTAAGCTCAACACAATAGAGCACCAGAGGGCACAGACACATAACAATTCCATAAACAATTGTGCCTAATTGAAATATCACGCAGATGGCAGCACAAACCATTTTACATCTCTACTCCTGAGTGACCAAACTCGGAGATTTCAAATATTCAAGACTTAGAGTGTGTGTGTGTGTGTGTGTGTGCTGGGGAGAGTGGGGCGGTGGGGGAAATGGCAATTAACCAAGTTATGAGTCAATAACCTGCCAACGGTTATCTGCAAAATCTGATATCTCACGCACTTTATTCCTTAACTGAGACTTCGACATATCTGGGAACTTTTTCTGCAAAGTTTGTAACACTTTATTGATGCCCTGTGAGCATGACTGAATGGCAGACACCTGAAAATTGCAAGATTATAATATTCTTAGCAACCAACTATTGACACTGTCAACAAGAAAGAAATTCAAAGCAAAGCAAAATATTTATGAAGCTAACGCTCTCCCTATTTATAGTTCATACTATCAATAAGTTTAAATTGGATGCAGTACTAATGAAACAGCTCATGTAAAATTGAAACCTCACACAAAGGTTTCTGATTCAAGATGTAGAAAGAAATACACTACTTACTATTGTAGGCAAATCCGATTCTGGTATAACAGTCACAGAGGAGATTGATTTAACACAGGGCGTGCCATTTGAAAGGCAAACTTCTTGGTCTTCTTCTGATATGCCATCAACTGATATCTCCACAGGTGAACTGCCAGGAAATATGTGCATACTAAGAGCTTGCAAGCACATCTGTTCGAGCTTAAGAATACCATTAAGATCTTCAGCTGTTAGCAAAGAGACCTTCTCATGCATCAAATTTGATATAATTAAAGGCTGATTTTTCTGAAGAGAGCGTTCTGTCAAATTTCCTAAATATTTTTGCTGTCGAAGCAAAATAGAGAATTTCTCGCTCTCTAAATCTTGCTTAAAACTAGGTGAGATTCTGGTCTCCTCATATGTTATATCAGTTTCCATCCTGTCAACTTGTACTCCCTGCATGCATAAAAAAGGGTAAGTTTCATAAATAGGTACTTCAACTTTTTGATTACATGGTGATCATTTCAGCCAAATCGTTAACGATGTGTTCATCTATTTATTTTATCAAACATAGATGCCTCAGTGGTTTCCGGCCGGGCTGATTTTTATCAACAATATCCTTAAATGGACTTTAAAAAATAGACAGTTCGGATAATCAATTTATAAGTAGAGTGGGACCCACAAATAGTATTACATGAGGAACCATCGACTCAAACCCACTGTACATATATTATATTACAGTAACCAGTTAAGGTATTTCCAAGCTATGGAATAAACTTGCCCCAAAAAGCGTTTTACATGGGGCATTCTCTGAAAGTAAAGGAACAGCTCAAACGTTTCAATTAAGACCTTTTTAGACCAATACACATGAATCTCTTTTCGAGGGACTGAAACATAAATGAATCCACGTCAGCTAAAATTAGAATTTTTTTTATTAATCATGAGTTTTCAGGTTTTCAGGTCTTCAGGACTTCTAGCAAGAATTTGATTTTCAAATAACATCACACGAGGGAGAGTTGAAACAATTAATTTTAGTTGTACATGTAGTTCAACAATTTGACAAGAGTACTTTGCAAATGGCTCAAGACAATACAAGCACAAGTCTTACACAAGTCAGCTAGGATAAGTAAAAAGAAGTTTAAGGAATGTAGGCACCTAATAAAATATTTTTGCAAAGTAAATCATTCACATTATACTCACCAATTGCACCTGTAAATGACTAGAAGGAAATGAAGATGTGAATGACTTAGATATCTCCGTACAATACTAGTTGAGTACAACTAGATGAGAATTATGAGCATTTCGATACTACGGAAGTCTGAAAATTATGTAACTAAATGAAAACTCATCCATGAAACTGAAATACAACTATAAACCACTCTTTACCTTTTATTCTGTGAATGGGAATGGACAAGATTTCACTCATTAATAACAAGTAGAACAATTTAGAGTGGAAAATGTTATGCCTAAAGAGTCACTCCATGGCATTAGTTTTTACAATGGCCTACACACATAGCACACCAACCAAATTTGTGGACATACTCAATGACCATCCAAAACATTATCACAAGGGTAAAAAGTAACTTCGCAACTTCAATCATCAAAATTACTGACCTCGTTTTCTGAGAGATACCCATCAGGTACAAAAAAGCCATCTTCACTTTCATCTTCATCATCAGCTTTTGAACACCCCTCTTCTAAGCTTTCCTCTGCATCGTCTTTATCACAATCAGACAGGCTTTCACCAGGATCCTCCTGGATAATGACACAGTCATTACTGACAATTATCGCCTACATATCAACTACATGGTATGAAAAAGAGTCACATATTACCTCTTCCCACTCCTCATCACTATCCACATCATAATCCAAGTCCGGGTCCTTCCTAAAAGGGTGACAGGGTCGAACAACATGACTGAAAACCACATTATAACAAAAATAATCAGTCTAATATTTCCGCCGCAAGTAGCTGAGCCTTCCAGGGGCTAGGCAACCAGGGAAAAAAACCTTTCTATACTAAAACATAACACAAAGTGTTATGAGTTAATTCCACTATTGCATAAAAACACAACAGAAAATTCCCATTCACAACAATATGCATTGTGTAAATTTAGATCCAAATAGACAAACAAAAA